ACAGTTGTGCTGCTTAATATTTCTGTGGAATCCATGATTTGAGGATTCTTTGATGAATAGAAATTTCTAAAGAACAGGATTAATTTGAAATAGAATCTTTTGAAGCATTAAACACATTTTTTACTGTCAATTCCAAACAATTGAATGCATCCTTGCTGAATACAAGTATTAACTTCCTAAAAAAAAAAAAACTTTCAGTAATGTAAATTATTTGTGTATTAATATTAAAGTGTAGGAAGACTGATTTGATAATGTTTCATGGAAGTGCCATTTAGCAAAGTAAATAAAATATGATTTGATTCTAATTAAATGTTTAATGCTGGCCGGAAATATGATCTTAATAGGAGTAAATTGTGTAACGTTATTCACAGAAATTTTATCATGGCAAGTTGTTCAAACCAAATTTAAGTTGGCTGGCGGCAAAACAGAATGCAATCTCACCAACTAGTAACACTGTTAATGGTTGTTAATCAGTACACCATTCATTAGAACAACTGTGGTGTAAATTTGCTTCAATGCATCCAAATGAAAGGTTAGTCTATTGCCAACTCTAACCTATCATTTAACAAACAATGCAAGAAAAACTATTTTTCATGCAACATCGGACACTAGATACGTCACTTTCTTTCCAGCATTAGAGCTTCTATTTTCTCTCTCAGTCGTTCCTGGAAAGTCTCAATGAAGTTGTTTTTTCCAGCAGATGTGTGTAATCATATAAACTATAATTGTAAACTTTGCCGAGCCCTGGACACAACCCTCAATCTCTCGAAAATGAAGTGCTGGACATCTGGGTGGACGCGAGCATGGCTCCGGGCGCTGAAATGACAGAGTTCAGGGCTCCGATAAGTGCTTCTGAAAAAAGCCTTCGTTCCAATTTAGATTGAGTTTTTGTTTTAAAGTGCCCCAGAAGAGAACGGCTGACAGTCACCCTTGCCATTTTTAAACCATGTGATTTCTAGAAGGGATTTGAGCGAAATTGTCAATTTTCTCATCTCTGTGGTTCTGTCTGGCTTTTCCCCTTCTTTTCCTACTGTTTCAGCATATTTTTTCTCATATTTTTGATGCATAATAAATCTCATGTCTCATCTTCATAACATCTTGTTGGATGCCCCCATTTGTCATTTATTATTTTATTTTTACACAAGGAGCAGATAGTGCACAAATCTTGAAAGGCAACGAGCTGAGCAAGTTTTCTCAATACTATTTTAACACAAAGGAATAGTTCACCCAAAAATGAAAATTCTGTCACTTCAAATCTGTATGATTTTTTCTCGTATTTAGAACACAAAAGGAGATATTTTGAAAGATATTGGGTCAAAACAACATTGGACCCCATTGACTTTTACTGTATGGACAAAAAAAGCATTGTTATTGTTAACTAAAACAAATCCAAATTGTTTTGTTTTTGGTAATTTAAATAAAGAAGAAATAAAATATTAGATGAAAACGTATACTTTAAGTATACTTTAACTTATATATTAGATGATTAAACTTATAAATCTTATTAAAAAAAAATGGAAATGTTGCCCCTGGCAAATAACTGAAATAAAATAAGAAATAAAATTATTAAAACTAAAACTGAAATAAATATAGCTATATATAAATAAGTTAGAAACTCAAATTTAAACTAAAATGAAAATGAAAACAGAAATTATAAAAATAAAAGCTAATTCAAAATATTAATAAAATGTATAATAGTATATAAATTATACTAAAATAACACTGGTTTGAAGTGACATGATTCATCTTAAAAAATAATGAATAATAAACAAATACAAAATAAATAAATTACAAAAGGCATGCAGTTCTATGCAATTGTCAATTGTTTTGGTTGAATTAACAGTAGAGAATATTAAAATGGCTGTGGAAGGATCTTGCCATAATCTTAGTGCCCGTCTCATATTTATGAGTGAAAAGAGAGCATTAATGCTAACACTTGTCTCTGAGCATCATCACCATGAACGACAGACTCTCATAATGCAGTGGGAAGAACCACCGAACGAGACTAACGCATTGATCAGACGGCGAGATGCGCATATCTTTCTTCCTTAATGACCCAAAGAGTTATTTATTAATACCGTTTTAGTTATGTATTAAGCAAGACACGTCTGGTGCTGGGAGTTTATGGGTGATAAACAGCCCTCGGTTTGCACATTAAGACCAAGACGATAATAAGACGTGCTGCTGTCATAGGGATGAAAAACAAAACCATGACGGGAAGCTGGGAGGATTATTGCAGCTGAATTTGCATGTGTGCCCAGCGGTGCGGCGTGTAGGTGCGGGATGTCAAGGGATGGGTCAGCTCACTTAAAGCTCTGGGCAATGCAGACGCCTCACCACACACACACACACACACACACACACACACACACCCACGCACACACCCACACAAACTACTACCTAGAGAACAAGCCAACTAGACAACATCAGGATCTAAAAATACATCTGGGTTCATACAGTATGCATGCAGAAGACCATACCACGAATATCGTAAGCCTTCAATTTTAAAGCAAACCTCCTCCAAAAAAAGACACAAAGGGGTTGAAAAAGAAAGGTGGGGATATATGGAAATAAGTGGTTGCAATATAGTTTTCAGGGCAGATCAGAAGAGAAACTGACTTGATTAAAGGGTGAAAAAGCAACTCAAATTTGAGTTTGGAGTTCATAAAGTTGCAGGAGAATACACACACACACACACACACACAATCTCATTTTAACACAATCACCTTTGACAATGCACTTTTGAAAGTGGCCCTCAATGTACAAAACAGGGCTTGAAACCCTAAAAAAAAATTAATTATTTTCTGACAAAGACTGCGGAATGGAGGATCATGACCTTTAGAAAATATAAACAGAAATAAAATCTATATTATTTGTTTCTGACGTCTGGAGTTTTTTCAACCCTGTTACCAAAATCTGGGACAAAAAAAAAAAAAACATCTGGAAAAAAACCCTAGAGTAATTTTGTTCTTTTTCTAGCAGTAAACAAAAATAACAAAATAAAAATAGCTTCAATTATATAAAAATTTAATTAATTGTGTAATACAAATAATTATATATATACAATATACACTCACCGGCCACTTTATTAGGTACCCCATGCTAGTAACGGGTTGGACCCCCTTTTGCCTTCAGAACTGCCTCAATTCTTCGTGGCATAGATTCAACAAGGTGCTGGAAGCATTCCTCAGGGAGTTTGGTCCATATTGACATGATGGCATCACACAGTTGCCGCAGATTTGTCGGCTGCACATCCATGATGCGAATCTCCCGTTCCACCACATCCCAAAGATGCTCTATTGGGTTGAGATCTGGTGACTGTGGAGGCCATTTTAGTACAGTGAACTCATTGTCATGTTCAAGAAACCAATTTGAAATGATTAGAGCTTTGTGACATGGTGGAAGTAGCCATCAGAGGATGGGTACATGGTGGCCATAAAGGGATGGACATGGTCAGAAACAATGCTCAGGTAGGCCGTGGCATTTAAACGATGCCCAATTGGCACTAAGGGGCCTAAAGTGTGCCAGGAAAACATCCCCCACACCATTACACCACCACCACCAGCCTGCACAGTGGTAACAAGGCATGATGGTTCCATGTTCTCATTCTGTTTACGCCAAATTCTGACTCTAACATCTGAATGTCTCAACAGAAATCGAGACTCATCAGACCAGGCAACATTTTTCCAGTCTTCAACTGTTCAATTTTGGTGAGCTCTTGCAAATTGTAGCCTCTTTTTCCTATTTGTAGTGGAGATGAGTGGTACCCGGTGGAGTCTTCTGCTGTTGTAGCCCATCCGCCTCAAGGTTGTGCGTGTTGTGGCTTCACAAATGCTTTGCTGCATACCTCGGTTGTAACGAGTGGTTATTTCAGTCACTGTTGCCCTTCTATCAGCTCAAACCAGTCTGGCCATTCTCCTCTGACCTCTGGCATCAACAAGGCATTTCCGCCCACAGAACTGCCGCTCACTGGATGTTTTTTCTTTTTCGGACTATTCTCTGTAAACCCTAGAGATGGTTGTGCCTGAAAATCCCAGTAGATTAGCAGTTTCTGAAATACTCAGACCAGCCCTTCTGGCACCAACAATCATGCCACGTTCAAAGTCACTCAAATCACCTTTCTTCCCCATACTGATGCTCGGTTTGAACTGCAGGAGATTGTCTTGACCATGTCTACATGCCTAAATGCACTGAGTTGCCGCCATGTGATTGGCTGCTTAGAAATTAAGTGTTAACGAGCAGTTGGACAGGTGTACCTAATAAAGTGGCCGGTGAGTGTATGTATTTATAATAAATATAAAATAGTATAAAAATAAATAGAAATACATACATTTATAAAATGTAATAAGTAATAATTAAGATAAATAATTGAATGCATATAAAATAATAAATAAATAAATAAATATACAAATATTTATCAAATTAAGTAATCAATAAAGTAATGATTAACAGCCTAAATGATGCTGTCATTCAGCCGAATATAGATAGTTTGGAATCAAATGTTAGTCTGTAGATATTAATAAACTTTAATTACTCATAAATTAAAGGAAAACATCCGTTTGATATTACAACAACTTTGGTATGCTGGATGACAAATGCAGTCAACACTACAATTTGTGTGAATAAAAAAAAGAGCAAGTGGAATGGGATGATTTACCCATCATGCTTTAGAAAGGGTCCAAATGATGGAACTTTCCTATTTTATGGGATGTTCCATTTTTTTTAATAATATATATGACGTTAGGTTTGTAGTACTGGGGAAAAAAAATCAATAATTATAAACAATCATATTATAATATGTATTCCAGTGAAGAGGAAGACAGTGAGCGGGTCCTGTGTCTAAGCAGATGAACAGATTAGTCGGATTACTTTAGATTTGGCTTGAAACACACCACAAGATGAACCCTGATAATCTGAGCTTTGAATCAGTGCCTGAGAAACCAGCCAGACTTCAGTCTGTCACTTCCTGAAAGAAAGCAAGAGAGCACACATGCACTCACTCGTGAAGGGTCGTACTCCTGGCGTCTTCGGTTGCTCAGGTCTTCATAGGACGGAGCTGGTCTCGCCTTCTGAAGCTGATTTCGGATTTGCTGCAGTCGTTCTTCATTACTGCAACATGAAGACAGAGAAACGAGACAGACTCCCATCAACCACCCTGGAAAACATCTTCACAAATCTAGGCAATGACCTCACAGATAATCAGATCAATATACTGCAATCGGTAACACTTTATTTGACAGTTTGTGTACTTGTGTATTTACCCAAAAAGTTATATAAGGTAACTACATGGGTTAAGGTTTAGGGGTAGTGCGTAGATATAACCCAGTTATTGTAATTGCTTTAATAAGTACGTGGAACAACACTGTAAAATAAAGAGCTTCCCTGCAATCAATCACAATAAAAAGAAAGTCCATCAGATGAAAATGTAAACAAGTAAAGTAAGGGGAAATCTAGAAGCACATAAAAGTCACCACAGCAAATACAGTAATCATTCATATCACAGTAAATCTGTCTCATCCTCACGTTTAAAAAGTGTTTGACTTGAGGCCAAAGTTAATGTGCAATTCTGTTTGTCAGATTCCCAACTCAAATGCAGTGAAAATAAACTGCACTTGATGTAAAATTCAGTGTATTAAATTATCCATCTGTGAGCTCCATAAACACACATGTAACCTAAGGGCATGTATTGATTCAAAGCAGAACTAGCATTATAAAATCAACCATTTAAACAGCTTCAACTTTCTCTGCAAATTCATGTTAAAGCACCTCAAACCATAACACATTTAATGTATTATACATTAATAATATATAGTTTCAATTCAATATGCAATTATTATTGAATATTTATATTATTAATTATGTATTATTATTAAATCTAAACAAATAAATATAACTGACTTACACTGAAAGCAGGGCTATGATGCATGTCCAATTTTGTATTTACATTGGACTTACACACACACTACAAATGTATAACTTTCTAGAAACTACATCCACAGATGTTGCCAACTTCAAAATAATTGAAAATACTAGAGGCAGCGATCTATGGCACTCCAGCAGCTGGTGGAGGACACGCGGAGAGGGAACGGCATCCATTATCTAATCCCAAAGAACGCAATTAGAGCTGCCATTTTGATTGAGAGTCCACATGACCCTCTGAATGAGAAACACTATCAATGTTTAATTAGCTCCCGTCAAGCATGTATGCATCATATTCATATTATTTACAGGACTGGAGCAGACCTGGAGTGCTTTAGAGGGAGACGGCTGAATATAGCACACAGAAATACTGCAAAAAAAAATACATGGATGCTTAAACACACACATACACGTACAAATGAGAGCGCGTCTGAAGGCCGGCTGTCATCACCAGTTCGTTTGGTGTGTTATGATAGCGGTACCGCTCAAACCGTAGAAAGGCCGGAGATATTACCTTTCCTTCTTTGAGACAGAATTAGACAAAGAGCAATCTGAGATCATCATCACCGACCGTGTCTGTTTCCTGCTGTGTTTTACCTGTTTATGTTACATTTGATTAAAGCTAAGTAGCGCTTGTGTTGAGCAACAGAAAGCAACGCTACCTATGAGCATGTGCACGATCTAGTCGTGAATTATGTGAGCGATTTTCCTACCCTCCTCACATCAAATCATCTCAAAAGTTTTGGTTAGAAAAAATTTTTTTTTACATATTACAAAATATTTTATATTTATTTATATGAAAACATATTTATTTATATATAAGTAAAATTTTCAAATATTCATTCAATTCACATCTGAAATGTTGTGCTGTGATAACACTTTTTTATTTTCCAAAATCAAACAAATCATTAAAGTATCCAAACTTCTTTTATTTTGAGAGAGAGAGAGAGAGAGAGAGAGAGAGAGAGACTGGATTTTTTTTAATTGGTTGTGTTGTCAATAGTTTTGATGGAACAAATTGTTTGTGAATATTTTATATTTCTCTGTTTGCTTTTTTTGTGTCAAATTGGGCTTATTGGTATAAACAGGCCTCTTCCCAAATTCTGATTGGGTAAGCCACGTTTGAAGCTGCTGTAAAATAGCAGATAAACTGTGATTGCACTATTTTTTTTTATTTTTCTTTAGGATTCTTAGATGAATAGAAAGTTCAAAAGATCAGCATGTATCTGACATATAATCTTTTGTAACACTGAGAGTGTAAGCCTTGCCTATCTAAATATTCAAGTGCAAGAAGACACAAAAGGGAACTCAATTTGTTACTCAGTATCATTATATTGGATCCGTGCTTTAGGTCTTAAAGTAACAGCAGCCTAATTGTCCTGCTCTTTTCTCCATTTGTAATGTTCATAAAACAACAAAGGACAAAGAAAAAAAAATCACTAACTGCTCTCGACGGAATAAACTTTTGTAACTTTAATAAGGATTAATCTGTTTAATTTATACAGTGAAAACTATATTTACATTTATAGCCTAAATGTATTTGTTAGGCTAGTAGTTTTAGCTGTGGTATCAAAATTAATTAAGATTTGTATCTAAAATGTTGGTGTCATAACTGTCTGTTTTTGCAAAAACAGTTTCATGGTCAAATATTTAAGTCACCGGCCATTGGCAAGTGTGGCAAAAAGTTAGTTTTAGGCCCTGTCTGACAAGGAATGCTGGTCTTGGATCAGTTCTCACTGACTAATGAATATGATTATAGATGGGGGAATTAATCCACAATCTGACTGTGAAGCTGTCAACAAATGGAGCCTGGACAGCCAAATAATCCCTGAATTAATAGATATTGACATACAGGTAATGCTAGAAACCGTGACGCACTTCTCTCCGCTTCTCCGTTCATTTCATCTCTATACCTCTATCTTATTTCTGCAGGACGTGTTTTATAATGAGATCTGACAACAGGCTGCCATCTTTTCCAGCTGGACGCCACCACACAGGCCTGTAATCAGAAGTGACACCCTCTTCTAAACACACCTGCCATCGAGGTCTTAATGAATATGTCCACTCCTCAATTATACAGTCTTGCTCTGTCGGGATAGGGCTGTCAGAGATGTGTGTGGCCACAGGGATCAGCACAGGAAATGCTCATGGAAATGAGAAATGAATATCTTTCCATCTATTTCGAGTTTGATTAATTGGATAAACATCTTGAAAACATAGTTATAAGTTTCAGGATTATAGTTAAACTACTAACCAACTTTAGTTTTCCCCTTACACACATGTACCATTTCAGGCCAAAAAGTCTAAGGGTGTATTCACACCTGCCTTGTTTGGTTCGATTGAATCGAACTCTAGTTCGTTTCCCCCTTTGGTGCGGACCTTTTGGGCAGGTGTGAATACAGCAATCAAACTCGGGTGCGGACCAAACAACCGAACCGAGACCCAGCTGAAGAGGTGGTCTCGGTACGGTTCCAAACGAACTCTGGTACGGTTCGTTTACGGTGTGAACATGAACCGACCCAATTGCAAGAAAGCACTGCGCCTTTGAGTTAACAGGCTTCCGTAGTCGGAGATTTTGGCTTAATGGTTTGTGTTATTGTTGTTCAAGTGCGAAAGAGAATGAATGAATGAGTGTGTGCATCAGGACATTCACATACAGAGCGTTCTCTTTAGTCTAATCGCGCATATGCAAAAAAAAGCTTTTGCAGTTCATATAATGTAACGATAGTTACAATACAAGGATGATGCTGCGTTAAACTGGACAAACTTAATCGCAAGCATTAACATTGACAGCACTTGCTAGCAGTATATACAATAAGAATCTCACTATTTGAATGTGTGAACATAGCCCCTCTCTATGAATGAAAACTTTATACCTTATCCGTCTTCTGCGCAGTTTCTTCATATTGCGTTTGTACAGAATAACACAAAATTAGTAAAATAACAAATATTGCAGTACGAAATATCTCCATGCTGAGCCTTTTTTGCACTTCCTGATTTCCCTACTTGAGAATCCTTGTCCAATGAATGGACGACCTTAGCACACGTGTGGTTTTGTTTACAAATTTTGGTTCACTTGCAAAAAGAGCAGTGTGAAAGCGAACCGTACCAAAAAAAAAAAAAAAAATTATTTGGTCCGGACCAAAGCAAGTGAACTATCGGACTTTCCTGGTGTGAATACACCCTAAATTATTGTTCCTACAACTAAACTGTAGTACATTTTCATTTGAAATCTAGGATTTGTTTTTCATATACATCATTTTTTAATACAACTACTACTTATTTTACTACAAAGTATTGTTGTTATTATTATTATTACCACTGCTTTATAGTGGTAATAATTTAAATTATTATTATTATTACCACTGCTTTATAGTGGTAATAATGATTTATATATATATATACATATATATATATATATATATATATATATATATATATATATATATATATATATATATATATATATATATATATATATATATATATATATATATATAAATCATATAATTATAAAATAAAATCTATATCTGTATCTTTTTAGACATGAAAATATATAATGTCATATATTAAACATTGAAAAACTGAAATAAAATTGTAAACTGAAGTAGACTTTCTTTTTTTTTTTCAACAAGACGCATTTGTATTATTGTTATTATTATATTTTAACTACATTTTCACCAGGAATCTATAGGAATTTCTAAGTCTGTCATAGCACTTGAAGATAAAGTAAAATAATTAAAATAAAATAAAGCAAGCTTGAAAGAGATGCCTCAATAATTTATAATAAGTAATCATTTATAATTTTCCAGTAGAAACAAGTATGGCGTTATGGTGGAAAGTAGTTACCAAGGTAAAAACAGATGGACAGTATGCTAACCGGTTTTGTGAGAGCTAAACCTTACTTCCAAAGCCTAATTTTACAGTACAATGTAGAAATACAAGCAATATGTCTACAGATCCATCTTAACAGTGTTTACTGCTCCGACGTGATGGAGAACAACACGGAAATGGAGGGAAGGCGTTAAGAAACAGCAGTTTCTTCACAGAATTAGAGTTGGCCAGAGTACACGGCTGGTGGGCCATTAGTTCGATTAAGCCCATTCCTCAGCGCTGGATGCGGTCCAGATATCTGGAGCTGGGGCCAGCTTTTCTGGCTGCCACTGACTCCGTGTCAGCATTTCTGCTGAAAAATGACCGTGCGGCGCTCAAACTCTCCCAAACAAGGAAAGCAAGGCTCTATTTTCCATGTTTGATCAGCACTAACATTTATTAGTCACATCTATTATGCACAAAATGCCAGCAAGAACAAAGGGCTGTTAGGAGCAGTCAGGCGACACACGCGAGATAGAATGGTAATTAAGTACCCTGCTAAAGTAGATGAGACATCAGCACTCGGAGAAAGCGAGACGGCGAGATGAGGAGGGGGTTTTCGCGGATCTGACTGACTGTTACTTTGTGGTTAATTGACCGTCTCTTTCCCGCTATCTTTCTCTCTTATTTGCTCTCTGACATGAAAATCGAGACTTGTGCGCACACACTCTAGAGATGGTTTCAATTCATAGGCCCAGGCGAGACATTTCTCACAGTTTCTTCTTTGATAAGACCCTGTGTAATCTACTCATATGGTCACATAAGTGAGTTCCACTTGTCAGACGATGACAGATTTTACTCTATGGTGACCCAACACGGGTGTTAGACTGTTCATCAAATGCCATTATAAGGACAATTTACACAAAAATTTAAATGATTGAAAAATTATCATTTACTCAACCTCAAAACTAAACTACAATAAACTGAATTAAAATATAGATAAAAGAACTGTAGTATAATGATATGTTTTTCAAATAAATACTTAATAAACATATATTTTTAAGTGCATTTTCATCAGAAAGCTGTGTATAAAATAGTGCTGTCAAATTGATTAATTGCATGTATGATTCATATATGTAGGAATTATGGTGTTGAGGCAGAAACATAGTTACCATGGTAACCATACTATCTATGTCATTTATCATCATGAAAATCATCTGGTTTTCTGTATTTATTTTAGTAAAAAAAAAAAGTAAGAACCCATTTCCCAAACTTGTATGAGCACTTCACAAAAAGTGTACCAGTACTCATAGTTTCTGCCAAAATAGAAAAGTTGCAGCAGTTTTTCACCACAATAAATCTGTGGTCTAGTTGGCTTTAGCCACCAGTAGCTATGTTTCCATCCACCTATTTTTATGTGCATTTTGGGATATTGCATAAAAAAACGGTGGATGGAAACAAATTCCCAAAATGCACATAAAAATTGTTTTATCAGATAAGAAAACATGCGCATAAACTATGATGGAAACACATTTACAGAGTAAATACCTCGATGCGCATCAAAAAAGTCATGTGACTTTGCGCGATTGATCGTCAAAGTGATTCGATATAATTATTCGGACTGCGTTCCCAGACAGGAGCATCCGCCTCCGAAAGCAAGATAACATGACCAGGTTTTGTCTGCGTGCTCTGAGGCGCAAATTATTTATTATATATGAAGTAAAATGCAAAATGGCTTCTCCTACTGCAGAAACCTATATTTTTGATATATGGCACCAGTTTATCAGGAAGTGACGATTTTGTTCGCTTCGTCTCGCTAGATGGAAACGGTGCTTTATTCCCAAATGTTTTATGCGATTTACATACATTTATTATAATTTTACAGTAGTACTACTGTAGTATATACACTCACCTAAAGGATTATTAGGAACACCAGTTCAATTTCTCATTAATGCAATTATCTAATCAACCAATCACATGGCAGTTGCTTCAATGCATTTAGGGGTGTGGTCCTGGACAAGACAATCTCCTGAACTCCAAACTGAATGTCGGAATGGGAAAGAAAGGTGATTTAAGCAATTTTGAGCGTGGCATGGTTGTTGGTGCCAGACGGGCCGGTCTGAGTATTTCACAATCTGCTCAGTTACTGGGATTTTCACGCACAACCATTTCTGGGGTTCACAAAGAATGGTGTGAAAAGGGAAAAACATCCAGTATGCGGCAGTCCTGTGGGCGAAAATGCCTTGTTGATGCTAGAGGTCAGAGGAGAATGGGCCGACTGATTCAAGCCGATAGAAGAGCAACTTTGACTGAAATAACCACTCGTTACAACCGAGGTATGCAGCAAAGCATTTGGCGTAAACAGAATAGAACATGGATCCATCATGCCTTGTTACCACTGTGCAGGCTGGTGGTGGTGGTGTAATGGTGTGGGGGATGTTTTCTTGGCACACTTTAGGGCCTTTAGTGCCAATTGGGCATGGTTTAAATGCCACGGCCTACCTGAGCATTGTTTCTGACCATGTCCATCCCTTTATGGCCACCATGTACCCATCCTCTGATGGCTACTTCCAGCAGGATAATGCACCATGTCACAAAGCTCGAATCATTTCAAATTGGTTTCTTGAACATGACATTGAGTTCACTGTACTAAAATGGCCCCCACAGTCACCAGATCTCAACCCAATAGAGCATCTTTGGGATGTGGTGGAACGGGAGCTTCGTGCCCTGGATGTGCATCCCACAAATCTCCATCAACTGCAAGATGCTATCCTATCAATATGGGCCAACATTTCTAAAGAATGCTTTCAGCACCTTGTTGAATCAATGGCACGTAGAATTAAGGCAGTTCTGAAGGCGAAAGGGGGTCAAACACAGTATTAGTATGGTGTTCCTAATAATCCTTTAGGTGAGTGTATATCGTACTTTGTCATTATCTATAAATATCATGGTATATTTATGAACAGGAAAAGTGGTGTGTAGCCTTGATAAGGTATCCAAATGTGTTTCTCAGTGTATTTCTCACAGCAACATGTACAAGAGCGAGTCTGTGAGTGTGATAGGATTACAGCTCTTCTGAGCTCGGTGGACAGCACACCGCAAGGAAGATAATCTTGTGCCAATCGATGGTAGGACTAGAGCAAGAATGAACACGGTCCCCACGGACACTGCAACACTCACGCATAATTACCGCCAGACAACAAATCAATGGGCTCTGTCGTTGAGACCACTCAACCCGGACTAAAAACTCACCAGTGAGACGTACATTCCCTCTGTATATACAGACTGTACAGCTACACAGTAAATCACAAATGACTCCACAGACCCGTCTGTCAATATTTCAGCTTGATTCCACTAAAAGGCCAAAGCGTTCGTTACCGATGTGCCTGGATTTTTGGTGTGTTGCATGTACAATGCCAAAGCAAAATGTTTTATGCTTTTGATAACGGGTTCAACAAGTACTAAAACTTCCATTGATTTCATTTTACTGAGTGACTATTGAGAGGAGTTTTTTTAACAGTGGATAACAGAGATAATAGGTTTGACCAATAAATGCTAATAAAAAAATTATTATTATAAAAAAATATAAAAAACTACAACAGTTAAACATCTAATTTAATAACATTTAATAATAATAATAATAATAATAAATAAAATAATAATTAACAATATTTCAAAATATGAGCATTAAATAATATTAGTATTAATAAAATATATATATATATATATATATATATATATATATATATATTATTGTGCATAATATGCATTATAAATATTTTAATCATAATAATAAGATATTAAACAAATTAAACTATTATTATTATTATTATTATTTTATTTGTTTACAGTTGTAGTCTAACAAATGTCTACTTATTATTGTGTCAAAACGGCAAAATAAAACAATTAAAATGATTCTGCTACTGGTTATCGGATACATAATCAGTACTGGTCACACACAAAACAAAACACACAATATTGCACAATATTTGTCATTTTATGCAAGGTATCCATAAAAATGTGTATAGACTGGTTCCCACCTGTCAGTCTTTGGAGGGGCGGCTCTTTGCTTGTTCACTTTTGCATAAAGGCCCTCTAGCTCCTCCTCATTGGGCGGCTCTCTGTTCGGGACGGGGACAGGGACAGGAGGCTGAGAGTAGTTGTGGGTGGGAGTCCCGGGTGGATACGGGGAGTGACTGGAAGCAGGGGGTTCTCTGAAATTGTTGATGCGAGCATAGTTGGGATCCAGGTCATCATCCTCGACGTCCGGGAAGGTGAAACGGTCAAGAGCAGGGCTATTCCTTTCACTCCTGTGGGATTAAAAACACACTCTTTACTAAATTCTTGGACACTAGAAATGTTAAACATCCAAAACACAGTTAAGCAAACATATATAATTGAGTTTAATTTTTTGCTGTACGAAGAGAACAACCAGTTATACCAATAGAGCAATTAACATTCAGAACTAGTTTAAGCGTTTCTACATCGGTACATTAGCATATTCTACTATTTTATCATTTAATTTTATGGGTTAAATAAAACATGTTACAATAATACTCTTAAAGGCTAACATACTTCGACTGAAACAGCTCAGGCTCACTCTTGTCCATCTCCTCTTCGCTCAAAGCGCCCAGTTGTTTAGCCTTAGATTTGGCTTTATCCTCTTTTTTCCTCCCAAACCTGGATGAGGGTTTAAAGAAAGTGAGGAGAGAAAGAAAGAACGAAAGAAGAAAGAAAGAAAGAGGGCATGGACACATAAAGAGAAAAAGGGAGGAAATGTTATGTTTTCATAATTTTGGTGACTCAACAGATTCCCTGCGCTTCCAAGTACCAAAGCAGAATTTTCTGTAGAAACTTTAATGATTGGTTCCCCATGTACCAGCCTGAAAACACAAACACACACGCCTGCAAAACCAAGCACATCAGTGCCCAGTGCCCAATGCCCTGTAGTGATTTTTCTAGCCCATTTCCACGCCAAACCTTCAAAAACTCACATATTCTTCTGCACTGATCTGAGGTCAGGCGGGGTCTCCTTGCTGACAGGCAGATAAAGACAGAAGAGGAAAAGGTTATATCCAGAATAAAGCTAATAATGAGAGAGAGTGGGTGAGATGATCACACGGACTCAGGAGAGTGACGCCGTAATGAAACATCAGTGTCAGGTATAAAAAGAAGGCGCTTCTGGTTCACTAACTGGGTGATCATTGTGAAACTCGTGAATAGGTGCTTAGTAATGATCATTATTCTTCTTAAACGTTAAAATCCAAATAATCAAATGATATACAACCCAACAAGAATAATGTCCAAGGTAAAGTATTTTGCAAATGGTTGTTGATGGGTGAATCTCAAAATAGAAGTCATATTTCACAATAAAATCAAAAGAAAAGAAAAAGGAAATAATATTTTATTATAGGAACATTTCTTGCATTGTGATATTCTTTTCATGACATTTAAGCACATTTACATCCAATAAATATACATAAATAAATAGATAAATAAATAAATACATTCTTGTAATATCAGGGTTTACAACCAGGAGTCCCAGCCTGTGGACATATATATAAAACAAAGAATTGTATTCAGATTATTCAATTTTATACTGCATAAATTAAATTAAATTCAACAAATAATATCATGATGCAAACTGTACTTTTTTAAAAAACTTTTTTTACTATATTATTTATATGAATATACTATTTTTTAAAACATTAATATTATATAATCATAGAATAAATATTGTTAAAGCATTTATTTACATAAAATAAATGCTTTAACAATATTTATTCTATGATTATATAATATTAATGTTTTAAAAAATAGTATATTCAACAAATAATATCATGATGCAAACTGTACTTTTTTAAAACTTTTTTTACTATATTATTTATATGAATATACTATTTTTTTAAACATTAATATTATATATAATCATAGAATAAATATTGTGAAAGCATTTATTTACATAAAACAAATGCTTTAAAAATATTTATTCTATGATTATATATTATATTAATGTTTTAAAAAATAGTATATTCAACCAATGATATCATGATGCAAACTGTACTTTTTAAAAAACTTTTTTTACTATATTATGTATATGAATATACTATTTTTTAAAACATTAATATTATATAATCATAGAGTAAATATTGTTAAAGCATTTATTTTATGTAAATATATATATATATATATATATATATATATATATTATAATATATACCGTTAAAATATTATAAATGAAAATTATTATAATTTTTCATTACAGTAATGAGAACAAAAATGTTATCGCACTATCGAAGGCGACTAATTTGGGGAGGAGGGAAATGTGCTTAATTGTCATGTCACAAAGCAAAAAAATCTTAATGGTCCTAAAAATGGGCTTCATTATCATAATGCAAATATAAGATCCAATTTTTCTTTTTCTTTTTTGTGAAAAATGACCTGAATATTTCTTGACAGTTTTCATGAGATTCACCCTGATAAACATATATTTGAATAACAATGACAACTGCACAACATCAATTAACAATTGAGAATTCAATTACATTTCCACAAACGCACACTCTAGTCAGGAGTAATCGCAAACCTCCGCTCCCAAGATTCCTACATTTCTTTTTAATTTGACACAGATATCGCCCCGAGGCTTCAGTTTACTGACATAACGTACATGCATGTTTGCTGAAGATAAGCCGTGACCACATGATCCAAACGCTGGTCCACGAGCGATTGAAGGGTCCGGTTGGATCCTGCATCCCCTCGCCGTGTCTCCTGTGTGTTATGCCTCAATAGTACTCCATTTCCCAGCCCCACACACGCACTAATGACTGTATTTATCTCATTAGGCTGGAGCGATCTAATACCGGCAGCTGGCATGCTAGCTCTGCCTTGCCCTTAAGCACTCTCATTAAAACCAGAGGGAGTCGTGGCCTGAATATCAATGTGCCGCAGTCTTGCTCAATCCGTGTGAGAGCAGCGCCGGTCATCACGCAACACAGAGCTCGCACAACTCTACTTGATTATTGGCCACACAACATTTTTCATTCTGAACATAATACAGTACAGAGTGATCTGATCCTTATGGAAACTGACTATGCTAACCATGGTATTGAAAATTTCCAAAGTTAGGTGATTGCTACTATTGTAAAAGCATAATATATAATATGGGATCTCCTTAAAACAGCATAATGATTTTTTCTTTTCTTATTTTGATGGTAGCGGTGGCTAATAGAAGTACTCTATGCCACCGTCTAGTGCAGCTATTAAGCTCTTACTTACGACTTAAGTCATGCATTCAAGGGGTAGTTCACTTTGAAATTAATTTTTGATATGTTTTAGCTTACCTCAAAGGCATCCAAGATGTGGGTGTGTTTGTTTCCGCAGTAGTTTCAATTTTGATATTTTTAGGTCAAACCGTTCTTGTCTGTCAGTCATATTATGCAGGTCTATGGTCACCACCTCAAAGAGCATGCACAGAGAAGTCCAAATTAAACATGATTTAATGACTCGTAAATGTAAGTACACATTGATGGCCTAAGACACGAGCGGTTTGTGTGAGAAAACAAACAGTATTTATATCGTTTTTACCTCTTGTAACCACAGCCACGTCCAAGTGATCTGAGGGCGCAGGCGCTTCGGTCTGTGCGTTACAAGAGGTAAAAACGATATAAATACTGTTCGTTTTCTCACACAAACTCCTCGTTTCGTGTCTTAGGCCATCAATGTGTACTTACATTTACGAGTCATTAAATCATGTTTAATTTGGACTTCTCTGTGCATGCTCTTTGAGGTGGTGACCATAGACCTGCTTAATATGACTGACAGACAAGAACGGTTTGACCTAAAAATATCAAAATTGAAACTACTGCGGAAACAAAGACACCTACATCTCGTCTAAAACATATCAAAAATGTATTTCAAAGTGAACTATCCCTTTCAAGTCTGAAACTATTGAAGCCAGTTTCCATGACATAAGAAAAAATTATGTTTTGGTAAATCATAATTGAATCAAAATCGAAATTGACATACTAAAGGCCCGTTCACACCAAGAACGATAACTATAAAGATATTAAGATAACTCCATTAGCGCCCACATCAGCGGACGATATAGTTCGGTTTATTCTAAGCATGTGCTTGTCTGTCACTTTAAATGCTCAAACTCGTTACAGCAGGATTGATTCTGATTGGCTGTCAATGTTTTTATCATTCATCAGCTGGAAAAAATCATTCTGAAAGTGATTACAACGATATCGTTTCTCTGTGCCATTATCATTATAGCTGTGACGTGAACTCTGCTATTCTTTAATATTGAGAACAATTTTTAGAACTGTATCTTTATTGTTATCGTCCTTGGAGTGAACTAAGTCATAATTATGAGATGAGTCAAAATTGACATGATCTCACGATGTTATGACAAAACCAAAGTTGTTTTGAAATTGGCATACTAAGTCATAATTATCAGGTAAAAAAAGTCGAAAATTACATAAAAAGCTAATTATCATAATTGACAAAATACCAAAATGATGACATACTACTAGCATATAAGTATGAGACACAAAGTTAAAATTGACATTCTAAGTCAAAAATTATCAATACAATGCCCCTAAACTAAACCTACATGTCACGAACAAACAAACTGAATTATAGTGGCTACTTTACCTCTCATATCTGCCGGTTCTTGGACACAATAAGCTGCAAATAGGACCAGACTTCATGCTGAGACTAAGGCTAGCTAAGCTCTAGGTTTCCCAACACTAGTTTGCGATTCAGCCCGTGTGTCTTGAAAACCCAGCTGATGGCTCAATCTACCTGAGGCCTGAAGCGTTCAGGTGGATTCGATTGTCGTAGTAAATGCGAAACATGCCCTTGGAAGCCGATTACACTTCTAAAAGTTGTCAGCATAAGGTTGAGGCATGTAGCCCAAGGTAGCAAACTAACAGTTTAATATGGTCTAAATTGAGTTTGCAAAGTGAATTAGCATCACTTTGGTTGTTAACCTGAGATTAAGATGGTCTATGTAGCTCTTGGGAGACTTAAAATTCAGACGGTGGAAATTACAGGCTAACGTTAAGGGCGAAGATGTGTGAAATGAGACAAAATGACACGAATGTTGATGAGAATCATATGCAAGCACTGTAATTACAAATCTAAAACCCAATTATGTCGTAATGTAGCCTACAATACTGAAGCCGTCTTGGTGAAGAGCTTTTTCTCCGGCTCTGTGCTGGCAGCTCTCGGTTTATCGATTGACTCGAGTTTACTGAGTGTTGCAATTTATCAGTCTAAACCGGAGGCTCATATTTTAGCAGACCAAACCTCAATTTTCACACAGACAGACAGGCTGATCCATGGGAACTGGGGACGTACTGCTAAGCTGATCATTATGTTTGCATATTAATGCCTGTTTCTCCCCCGTCTGGTTTTTAAGGATCTTTCTAATTAGGTAAAACTGTCAGGAGCGGATCTGCCTCTGTCTTTTAAGATCCCCGCTCTCTGGTTCCTGTCTGATCAATGTTGTTATGCCTTAAAACAAAAGTATTGTTTTTTTTTGTTGTTGTTGAATTTGTCGAGTTTATTTTACAATAAATCTTTTCACACATGCACTACTGTTCAAACATTTTGGGGTCGGTAAGATTTTTGAACATTTTCAAAAGAGTCTCTTAAGGCCCTTGCACACTGAGGACGAAATTTTTGTATGCGTCTTTTCGTATTCGTGATTGGGTGGCTCTGAATTGTCAAAACACCTTTCAAACTGCTCGCTACGGATACGAAAAACGCAGAAAATCGAACCCAATCTAATTTTTTTTATGACCTATGAAAGTTTCGGAGGCAGTGTGCAAGCGTGATTGACATAACGTGAGGTCGTATTTATTTTTTAACGTGCTAAAATTTTGGACGCGAATTTCTGACTCAGTGTGCAAGGGCCTTTATGCTCACCAAGACTGAATTTATTTGATAAATATAAATATATAAATATAGTAAAATATTATGGTAATACTTTACTTGAAGGGGTGTGCATAAGACTAACATGACACCTTCA